CAGCAGCTTTGTAATATAATTTTAAGTCAGGAATTGGGATGTCTCCTGCCTTTCCTTTGTTTCCCAAGATTGCTATTCTAGGCCTCTTCTGGTTCCAGATGAACTTTAGGAGTGTTTTCTCTAGATCTGTGAGGTATATTAATGGTATTTTAATTGGGATTGCACTGAATCTGTACAACAATTTTGGGAGTATGGCCATTTTCACAATGTTGGTTCTTCCTATCCATGAGCAAGGAATATCTTTCCATTTTCTGATATCCTCTTTGTTCTCTTTTTTCAGAGTACTATAATTTTCACTGTATAAATCTTTTACTTCTTTTGTTAGATTGATTCCTAAGTATTTTATCTTTTTAGATGCTATTGTGAAAGATGTGGTTTCCCTAATTTCTCTCTCAGTCTGTTTTTTGCTTGTGTACAGGAATGCTATTGACTTTTGAGTGTTAATTTGTATCCAGCTACACTACTGAATTTGGTTATTAAATCTATGAGCCTCTTGGTGGAGTTTTTGGAGTCTTCTGTGTAGAGTGTCACATCACCTGTGAATAATGACAATTTCACTTCTTCCTTTCCTATCCTTATTCCTTTTATTTCTCTCTCTTGTCTAATTGCTCTAGCCAATATTTCCAGAACTATATTGAATAGGAGTGGTGACAGTGGACATCCTTGCCTTGTTCCTGATTTTAAAGTGAAAGCATTTTGATCCCTTTCTAGAATATCCTTCAGTACTATTTGTAGGGTTGCTTTGGTGGTCATGAATTTCTTCAGTTTTCTTTGTCATGTAAATATCTTATTTCTCCATTAATTTTGAAAGATTATTTTGCAGGGCACATCAGTCTGGGTTAGAAGATGTTTTCATTCAGGGCTTGAAATACTTTGCTCCAAGCTCTTCTTTTTTTATTTTTTATTTTAAAGAGTACATGAGACACAAACAAACAAAAAAATAGAACAGTAGCAGCAAGAGGGACAAGAGTCTGCTATGATTTTGATGGGCGTTCCTGTGGTACTCTGTTTCTTTTCTCTTCAGCTTTAATATTTCTGTTCTTTTCCTGAATTTCTGCATTATAATTCTTTCCTATATTGTTCAGTCGAGGTTTCCATCATTTTCCTCTGCTCCTCCATTTTTAAAATCTATGTCTTGTTTAGATATGTTGAGCAATTTTTCATTATGGTTGTCATTTCTTTTTATACCTGAGAGATTATTTCTGATCTGATTTCTTCTATAGCCTCCTGGAGGCATTTCTTTACTTCAATTGTTATCATTTCAGAAATTTTAGGTGTGTAACTTCTAATTTCTTTTTTTTTTCTGGTACCGGGAATTGAATTCTCAACCTCACACTTGCCAGGCAGGCACTGTGCTGCTGAGCTAAATCCCCAACCCCTCTAATTTCTTTTTTGTCAGAGTCTCCTGGACTTCTTCTAGGTGGGCTGGAGGTCTGAGATTGTATTTTACTCTTTCATCTTAATATTTTCTATTTCACAAGATTTTTATTTTGTTTTCTGTGATATTTCTTGTGAGTTTTGGTAGTAGGTAGCTATATGACTAGTATCAAGGTCTCTCTAGGAAAAATCTGGTTCAGGGATATCTTCTGTGTGTAGAAAGTTCTTGGTTTGTGTCTGTCCCAAGAGCCTACCTTCCCAATTAATTGAGAATGGGATGTTGGTTTCTGTTTGGTGATGTCCCCAGTCTTTTGCTGTCAGGCTGTGGTGAGATTATTACCCCAGAGTTTCCCAATATTGTTACAAAAGGGAGAAGAACTGATTACAACAGATATGACATCCTAGGTACAGTAGTACAATTACCAATAATGATAGCATCAAGCACCACTTAGAAATTAACAAACTGTGGTGACTATTGATTTTGTACTGTAGAAGTGTTTCCCCTTGTTAGAGTGGATTTACCATGGGTTCCTCTGGATGAGCTGGTTGCCAAGTCCTGCTTGCTTCCTGTGCTGGCAGTCTGTCCTGCTATGTAGGGGGATGCTCCAGGAACCTGGGTTCAGCAGGACCAAGGCTCCCTTGATGCCAGAAAGGTGATGGGTGGGATTTCTCCCCTGCTATGTCACTCCCTGAAGCTCCCATGATAGTGGAGAAGTGATGAGCAGGGTCTCTCCCCTCCTGCATGGCTCACCAAGGCTCCCTTGATGGTGGACGGGTGATAGGTCTCTCCCCTCCCATGCAGCTCTGTAGTTTGTTTCTTGGTCTTTTTGAACCCTTAAGTATCCACACTCAGCCAGGTGTGGTGGTGTATGCCTATAATCCTAGGACTTGGGAGGCTGAAGCAGGAGGATCACCATGAGTTTGAGGCCAGCATGGGCTCCATAGTGAGTTCAAGGCCAGCCTGAACTACATAGTGAGATGCTGTCTCAAGAGGAAAAAAAAATGCACCCCCATATCTGAATTTGGAAGTGCCTGTAATACATAGTAGTATACCTGGAGGTCACTGCAGAAGCTTATGATTGCCACCCAGAGGTGACTGGTGGGATTTTACACTGGAACATTCATGGATTGTGTATTAAGATTTATACCTTTCAAGAGACAACTACTACATAGCTATTGGGTATTAATGCAGACGGCCTCTGTGATTGAAGGACATAAAATATCCCCAATATCTGAAATAACTATAATGAGAATTGGCAAAATTTCTTGGGCCAAATCAGAGCAACACTCTAATAAGGAAGACAGTGCCCAGAAGAGTTGCATGATAAAATGAAACTATTTATACATGAACATGTTACTGGGGAATGCAAAGATATACTCACTCATTGCATCCATGAGCAGGCAGCCTCTGGGATTGACCTTGAAACAACAAAAGTGCTGCTGGATCCCATTGCTACCAGCACATACTCTGTTTAACAGACCTTTATTAACCAACAGAAGCTGCTTGGTTTATGGATGGACATTGCAAGGTACATGGATAGTATAGTGTTTGGAACATCGCCATATAAAGACTGGCAAATGGAAAGGCTCTGGTTGCAGAAAGTAATATTCATCTTGGTACACTGAGTTGAATGCTGCTTTCTTTGTAGTGATAAGAGTGTTGAACAATGATACAAACTCCTACCTAGAGTTAGATTCTTACTGACTCAAGGGCGGGGGCCGGTGGCAGATGGGTAATAGACAGTGGTCTACATTGATGCCTATATGGGTCACTACCTTAAGGAAATCACTCTGCAGTTTTAAGGGATGAATTCAAGTAGGACACATTGATGTCCCTCACAACAGCTGCTTTTTAAGGCCAGAAGGTAATTGGAGTTGGCAAGAGTATAACCTGTTGAGCTGGTCTGAGGTTTCCATTTGGGCCTATGAAATCTGGACATGAGGGTACTCCTGGAATGCGGAGTGTTGAATCCAGATATACTCTTCTGCACAAAATTCCAAGAATTGTTCTGTCACCCAATAAAGGAGATGGAAACTTCAGACAGCTATGGGACAGATTCCATGAGGGAAGGGTCCTTGTATAGCTGACCAGGTGATTATAATTCTTCCCCATATCACCTCAGTTTTGTTTTTTTTTTGTCACATTACCTCAGCCTTCACTTCTCCTCTTGGCACAGTGATCCCAGGACCAGGGCTGCAACTTCAGGTTCTAGGGAAAGGGATGCGCATGGAGGAAGAAACTGCTGCTATAGTTTAAATTTACTTTCTTTATTTCACTCTTTTGAGAGAGGGTCTTGCTATGTAATTCAGGGTTACCTTGCACTCACAAGGTAGCCCAGGCTGGGCTCCAACTGGAGTTGTTCCTCCTGTCTCACCCTCCTGAGTGCTGGAATTATGAGTGTGTGTCATCATGCCTGGCTTGTATTTTAAACTTTTAGGTCAGAATTTTTAAGGCCTTGATGGGCAAGTTGTGTTTTGCCTCATCTGGATAATGAACTCAGCTCTATTGCCTACTGGTAGTGATAATCTACTTCTGTACCTCTATAAATCCTCCTTATATGAATGAAAACAAGGTGATGGGGAAATGTTTGCTAGATCAGTCTTGCTGCTGGAAGTATGATTTGGACCAGTGGCTGAGTTTTATGTCTCTTCTAGAGGTGGAAAAATTTAGGTAAAATGATGTTGGAGAGATGGAGGAATAGCAACTGAGGGTAAATGAATAAATGAGTTTTGAAATGAGGGAAATCCAACACTACATTTGTGCTTTAAGAAGGAGCTAAAGCAAGAAATAATGTTAGTGACTGAAGGGGTGAGGTCTAATGTTGCCAAGACCACTCCTGCTTATGGAACGTGCCAAGGTGGATGGAAGCCTACAGACCTGAGTGGCATTGCCCTAGGAGCCTGTTTGATCATGTGAAGTGATGATGGACTGACAATGGCTAGTGACTGAGTGGAAGTCTAGCAATGTGTCACCATCTTCTGATTCTTATTTTTCAGGTTGTATCTATGACCGTCCTGTAGAAAGGTGTAAGGCTGGAGTTTCAGGTAAGATTATAATACTGGCATTGATGGTCAGTGTACAGGGAAATTGAGTTAAAGCTTCTCCAAGATTTAATGTTGATGAAAAATGACTGGTCTGAGGAAGAACTGAGTTTAACTAGTCATAAATTAATTTCTATGCTAAGTAGTTCTGCATGAAAATATTAAAAGGTGTAAATAATGGTAAGTCAGGAATGGGCATGAGGAACCAAGTTAGTACAAAAATATAAAACGTATGCAATGGTTGAATAGGATAGAGTATTTATTTAAATCTATCCTTGCCTTACTCTGGCTCCTCCAAAGGGTTGGCATATAATTCTTTTTGTATAAGAGAGCTTTCCTCAAAGAATGAGGGGTGGCCTGTATATTATAGAATTTCATCTTTTTAAGAAAATTCTGCAATTTTTTTTAGACAGTTGTGTAGTTCAGGCTGGACTTTAACTCACTATGTAGTTGAGGCAGCCTCTAACTTACAGTGACCCTCCTGCCTCAGCCTCCCCAGTGCTGGGATTACAGGCATGCCCCACCATACCTGGCTTGCACTTTGTTTTTAGTTTCTGTAATAAACTATACCAGTGAGGGGCCTTCCTGGTTTCTTTTTTAAAATTTTTATGAGTACATGTTTGCAGTACATAATGATACATTCTTTGTGGGGAGTTTGTACAGATACATAACACATTTTAAGTCATTTTTCATCCCTTTTCCCTCCCTTCCTTCTCCCCTCCATCTCTTAGTTCTCCTCCCATTTGTGAAATATCTCTCTCCCTATTTCCCATTTCCTATCTATCTTTATGAAAGAGTAGTACTCTATTGCATATAAATAGCACACTTGCTTTATCCATTCATCCCTTGAAGTAGTCTTCCTGTTTCTGAAGGGACAGTTTCTTGCTATATCTTCTTGTGGTAGAGAGAATGAGAGATCACTTCTCTGGCATATCTTTTTACAAGGCATAAAGCACATTTATGAGTGCCCCAGCCTGATGATTTATGCGCCAAAGGTCTCGCTTCCAAATACCATCACGTTGGCAATCAGTGACCCAGTATATGAATGGGTCAGTATGAATTTTTGGGGTTCAAAGCATCATTTTTTATACTAGTGCAGTAAAATGATGAAGATTATAGTTCTCCAGCTCTTATTTTATCAGAATTATTTGTTTGTTTGTTTGTTTTTTTGAGAATGGCCCTCGATATGTAGCCCTGGGTGGCTTCAAACTCATGGTGATACTCCTACTTCAGCCTCCTGAGTTCTGGGGTTACAGGTGTGCACCACGTTTGGCCAGAATTGTGTTTTGTTTGTTTGTGTGAAAGGGTCTCACTGTGTAATTCAGGTTGGCTTTGAACTCACTATGTAGCCCCGGCTGGCCTCAAACTCACAGTAATCCTCTTGCCTCAGCCTCCCCAGAGCTGGGATTTCAGGTGTGTGCTACCATGCCTGGTTTATATTATCATCTTTATATTAAGAATGTTAGGAGAAGGGTAAGCTCACCCAAAGAAAAACTTTGCCTTCTGTTCTGGGGAGGGAATTGGTGTGTTTCCATTTGTGCCCAGGATAGTTGCATCCTGTTAGGCATAGTTGTGAGCTTGCTATTGTGTTTGTAGACTAAGTACATATGGTTTAAGAAAATGTGTCTTGGTGTCAAGTTGACAAGGGTGGATTGTAACAGTTAATTGTGATGTGTCAGTTTGAGTGGACTAATAGATGCCTAGTGAATTAGTGGAGCACAGTTCTGGGCATGTCTGGATGACTGACATGTAGGCCTCAAATTTAGAAAGGAAAACCCACCCTGCATGTGGGTGGCAGCAAACAATAGGCTTGCAGAAATGAAAAGATGGAGAAGAAGGAAGTCTTCACTTTTGCTCCTTTAGAGAAGATCTAGTCTTTGCCATTGCTGTTAGACATTCATTTCTAGTTCCTTCAGCCTTCCAATGCAAAGACTTTGTCTTTCCAGCATGGACTTGCATCACACTCTGTAGTGAGCACCAGGCTTTCAAACTTTGACTGGATCCTCTGACTATCAAGCATGCAGATGGCTTTTGTACATTCTTTCACCCCTCACTCCTCAGGCAGGCATTGTAAGCCTTCATAAATCCTTTACATCTCATCTCATCTCATCTCATCTCACCTCATCTCATCTCATCTTATCATATCTGTTCCTCTCATGAATTATAACTGATACTGACGTTCTGTTTCAAAATATCACCAAAAACCTAGTTAAACCTGGGCATGGCAGCACGCACTTGTAATTTCAGCTACTTAAAAGGCTGAGGCAAGAGGATCATAAATTTGGGACTTGGAGAGCTCAGTGAGACTCTCTTTCACAACAAGCAAAACAAAAACAAAAACAAAAACAAACCAAATCGAACCAAAACAAACCAAAACAAAACAAAACACAACACGAGTCCCGTTAATTATGATGCCCACTTAATTTTGGGAGTTCCCTCTGTGTTGCGTCCAGAAGGTATCAGGTGTCTTGCCTCATGTTTCAGGACCAGCTGAAACAGGAAACTGGCATGGCTAAGAGCAGCCTCACAGTGGAAAGACACAACAGACCTTTCCACAATGCTCCGCCTGGAAACTGGCCTTAGCTGGGCTGCAGCCACCACACTCCTGACACCTCTTCATTTAAATTCTTTGCTGCACCTGGAAAGTACCATTGTTTCGATTATTCCCTTCTCCCTCTTCGTCTCAGACATTCTACTCAATCCTCTCAGAAAAGCACTGAAACTTTCAAGCCACAAGATAAAATTTCAAATATGTGTTCCCCAGAAATCATAAAGGAACAGACTGATACATTTGACTGTGTAAAAATTTAAAACTTCTGTTTGGCAAAAGTCAAGACAGACTGTGAAAATAAAATTGTAGAACATATGATAAAATGGCTAATTTCCCTAATTTGCAAAATGACTCTTATACAAATGAATGAGGAAGTAATACAACTCAGAAGAAAATAATCAAGTTATAAGATAGTTTACAAGAAGAATATAAATGGACTGTAAAGTTATAGAAATATACTCAGTCTTACTCATATTTAAACACACGGAGACCAAAGCATCAAGGAGATACACTCTTTCGTTACATGCCTGTATTTGTTTATCTGAGTATCCAATTTGAAGATATCAATATGTAATACAACAACCATTGTTAATTTCCTATCACCTTGTCTGAAATTCTGTATTGCTTGTATTGTTTTTGTGTTATTTCCTAAATGTATGTTTGTTTGTCAATATGTTTTCATTCTTTTATCTTTAAAATTAAAAAAAGGAAAAAAAAATTAAAAAAAGGAAGATATACTCTTTCAAATTTAGACTGGTAAAAATATTTTAAAAGCTTTATAATACACAGTATTGGCAACAGTATGGAGAAATAGTACTTTCAGATGTTTTTGATGAGATTTTATTTCATTTTTTAATTTTTAATTTTTTTGGGTTTTTTGAGACGGAGTCTTGCTGTGTTGTTCAGGCCAGCCTTGAACTCACGGCAGTCCGCTTGCTTCAGCCTCCTGAGTGCTGGGTCTACAGGTGTGTGCTGCCATGCATGGTGAGATTTTACATTGTTGCAACCTTTGGGAAGGTAATTTAACAGTATCTATCACCTACTTAAATTAAGTGCATATTTTGGTTGAGAAATTTCATGTATTCAGTATAATCAGACATTGAGTTGCATGTAAAACTAGGGCATGTCTCAGCGTGATCCATTTGGTAAATACACAATACCAATTGGGTAAAAAATTGATAAATACGTGATGCTAAGTGGGTAAAAACATTACTTATCACAAAAGTTAGAGTGGTTAGTTAATAATAAGTAATAATGTCAGAAACTGGGATAACATACTGGGAGTAGATATTGAAGGTTATGATCTGTTAAGAGTATAAAGCTGAATAAAAGATTGTTTATTGGTATGATAACTCAAGATTTAACATCCATGGAGGGTCACTTGGAGACAATCATACTATGTTGTGTAGGCAACTGCTTAAAACTTAGAAACAGTAATGTCTAGGAGTTAATAAAGTGGAGTGGTTGTAAATATCAGCAGAGTGTTAAAGATGTGGTCAAAAGATTCAGGGAAATGGGTATTATACAATAAGCTTATCACATGAAACAGAACCTATTGAAAGGTTACACTACACTGGAGAGCCTAGAAGACACTTGCTATTCCAAAGCAGTGAGAAACATGCTAGTGATAGGGATGCTGGCTCGCATCACTGAGAAACTGGTTGGATTATTGTACTTCAAGATAAAGATTATGCTTTGAACCATTTGCCATTGTATGATGTAACCTGGTATGTGCAATACACAGTCTTTGTAGGCCAAGCTTGATGGTAGCAGTGACTGTTCTGAACCTGACTTTCTAGTATCAATATGGATGATACAATTCTGGGGTAGCAGAACACAGTTAGGGGCATTTAATTATAAGAGGCAATGGTAGAAATAATTACCATAACATACAGTATAGCTAGACTGATAACTGAATTAGGGACTAGACTCAGACTTATCTAAGTTTACAGAAATAAAGTCTGACATAAGTTAACTCTCTTGTCCCCATATAGTTTAAAGAGATTTGATTTGTTATGACATTTTGTAGAAGATTGAACTGGCCTGCTGTATCATCGTACTATGCTATTTAGACCTAGTGGATCAGGAAGTGTTAAATAGGACATTTGTATGCACGTCAGAGGGTGGGCAGTAAACTCCATTAAGAATATGAGGACTGTAAGATTAGGGGAGTTTTTAGATATCCAGAGTCTGAGTTATACTCAGATGTTCCATTATTGTATCTATGTATTTCTTACCGTTGGGGTTTGGGGGGAAGAGAAAGAGCATTTTGTAGGATTCCTAGAGTTTGAACTTAACAAATACCATAGTAGGTGATTTTTGGTGAGAAAAAGCCTTTCTGAGCCTATTTTCTCTTTTTATAATAAAATACCTCAGACTAGGTACCTTATAAAGGAAAGAGATTTGTTTTAGTAAGTGGTTCTGGGGACTAGAAGTCAAAGAGCATGGTGGC